GTTTCTTATATAAATTTGACATCATTGTATCTCATTTATATAATAAGAATATCAATATTTAGCTAAATGTTTAAATTTATCAAATTATCACTAATTTTCTTATTAGACAATATCATCAAAACACCATTTTACTATAATTATACAATAAGAGTGTCACTAACTCTATCAACTCTCGCAACAATATATTTGCCAAAAAATTTATAAGCATCATTATATTTTTTCATATAATAAGAATGTTTTTATAAATATCTTCACAAACATCACATTAAAAATTAACATGGCAAAGCCTAAATAAATTCAAAGATAAAATACGAGTGAGAGAAATATTTGACTTGAATTACATAATATTATCTTTTTCAATCAAAATTTTAACCCAATAGCATTTTTTTATATGTATGCTTCCACTTTTCTCAAATTATCACTAATTGTCTTATTAGACAATATCATCAAAATACTATTGTACCATAATTGTACAATAAGAGTGTCACTAACTCTATCAACTCTAGCAACAATATATTTACCAAAAAAATTATAAGCATCATTATATTTTTTCATATAATAAGAATGCTTTTATAAATATATTCACAAACATCACATTAAAAATTAACATGGCAAAGCCTAAATAAATTCAAAGATAAAATATTGTGAGAGAAATATTTGACTTGAATTACATAATATTATTTTTTTCAATCAAAATTTTAATGCAATGGCATTTTTTTATGTATATACTTCCACTTTTCACATTATATTTTTTTATCATGTTTCCACTAATGACAACATATTATATGTCTCTTTTAATTTCCCTCACAAAATATTTCTCATAGCTTTGTCAAGAAATATTAATTCTTGAATAAAAAAATCAAATTAAAGTGTCATGGAATAAGACGCATTAATATTCATTCACTAGAAGTAAATCTCAATTATATTCGGGTATTAAAAAGAAAAACGTAATTATTTTTCTTATGGCATTTACTCAATCTCTTTGCTTATCATCAATAGGCACCGCTAGAAACTTGAAACATGTTAAATGCACTTCACTGTAACTCATTAATAATGGGCATTTCATTGCTTTTCATTTACAACCATTGACAATTGGAGTTTATTCTTCAATAAAAAGACTTTTTCTTTTTATATTGGCAAAATCTTCCATGGTCTCCAATATCACATAACTTCATTGAGATTGACAATAAAAATAATAATTAGACGTAAAATAAACATCGAGAGGCATAAAAGTGTAGTAATATTCAAAGATTGTTTTAATATGATCAAGATGTCTATCTCACCAGTCTACTATCTTTATATATCAAATCCAAGTAAATAATTGCTTAAAACATTTTTTTTTCTAACAATAGTTTTAAGAAAAAAAATATTTTTCTATGGCTACGGTAAGAGAGCATGATAACTGGTATTAACATTGCACTTTAATAGCTTAGAGATATAGACATGTAAAATTCAAATGAGTATAAAAAATTATATTAATATCAAGAGCTAGCATATAGAAAATATCATTTAATATTTTTACCATAAACAACTCTTTCAATCAAACAAATTTCACAATAAATTCACAAACAATACTAAAAGTTTTGCATTTAACAAAAAAATATTTTTTGCTTTAAACAATTAATGTACTCAACATCGATCTAACATGCATAAGAGTCAGAAGAAAGTTCAATCTACTATTTTACTTATGAAAGCCGAGTATTCAACTAAGACTTTATGGCAATAAGAGAAAATAAATAAATAAATTATGAGCAATTAAAATCTCAAAACTCATCCAAGCCATAATTGTTAATCTTCAATATAACACATGGATTATTGACTAGAAATTTTTGCATGTATCCTAATCACAAAAATATCAGGGCATGCTAAAATTCATTTGATAATAACAATCATATTTAATCACAAACGTTTATTGCTATTTTTTGCTTTGAACAATAATATTTAATATTCATTATAAGTTATAGAAAACACTACATGTCAATATCTTAGTCATGCAAATTATCTCAAGTGTACATATATACACACACACACCATGATCTTAGTATCTCATTAGCTATATAGACGTGATCGTTTTTAAAGAGCAATACAATCACATGAATAAAGGATTGACATGAAAAACAAGTTTGTTGTCTTTAATACTAAACAAAATAAATTAACTCTTGTTGATTTACAATCCACCCGTAAAAATATATAGTTTGGATATTAAAGAAAAATAAGATAGTGAAATAATTTTTTTTTCATATGGCTAATTAACACTTACAAATTGATTTTCAGCAAATCAAAATGTTAGATGTATACAACCAACTAAGATGTTGGAAAAGTATTTTTTTTTATATCTATATATATTTTATGCTCAGTAAAAATAAAATTATCAAACACCAATTATTTCATTATAATTATAAAAAAAAAACAACAACATGCAAGTAGTGGCATTGACCTTATAAAAAGACCTAATTTTAAATTTTCATGCCTAGATTTTTTTTTTTTTACAATTTTAATAATTCAATCATCGACATCGTATCATTTGAAATTATTGTTACTATCTAGCACATAAAAAGAAACATAATTAGATAATAGAATCACATTAATTTATAAATAAAACTATTATAGATTAAAATTGATAAAGAATTATAACTTTTTACATTAATCATCGGAAAAATTATGGATTAAAATCATATATAGTTTCATGGTATAGAGATAAGTAAACCATCAACATAATTTTATCAAAATCTTGAGGTGACCCTCTCGAGAAACAATTAGATTGTTTTTTAAGACAATATGCTTCATTTATAGAGATTTTCTAATACAATGAATCATGTGTGTATTACAAGTAATCTCATAAATACAATAAGCTTTTGCCTATTTTATCGTATCTAATAAATTTTTACTATTTGTAAAATTTGAAACTCAAATAATATAATTTCACTTTTATTGAAATTTTGTAATACAAAGAATGTGACTTTTTTAGTGAGAGAATAAAGAAGAGAAAATAAAAGAGCTATTTTTTCTTAGTAAGTAACGTATATCATTCTTCTTGCAAATGACAAAATCATAAGATATATATAAACGGTAAAAAATAATCGTTTCTTGTTATAAAGTCTTTTATGACCTTTGAGAAGAAATGATTAAATATAATTTAATAATATAAATTAAAATTTTCAATATTTTATAGAAATATTTTTTTAGCTCTGTAGATGTTTCTCACCGACGATAATTTTTTCTTTTCATTTTGCATAGTTATTATTATTATTTTGTTTCATTAGATCTATCTAGTTACGTGTCAGCTATTTGTTTTCCTCGTTCATCTTGATTTTTCTATTTTCGAACATAGATTTGATGGTTGTTTTCTAACACACATTTGATGGTTGTTTAAAACTGGATACAAGAAATTAATAATCATCGTAGTTGTAAATATTTAATAAACGAGACCTGGTTACGCGTCTCATTCTCCTATTGACTTAAACTCGTGTGCCAGTTCCAAGCAGTTCCTTTGGTTTAACAGTTTGGGATATTTTTCTTTGTAGTTGAAGTCATTGATTGTACCAGCTGTTGCTTGGAAGAGCATTTTAGGTGTTTTCGATAATTTTTTACAAACAAAAAATTATAATTTTTCTTAAGATACCGCCAAAATAATGATCTGTAATTACTTTGTTTATGATTAATAGATCATTTTCCTTTAAAAGAGATAGAGAGAGACATTTAAAAAAAGTGTTATTGTTGTCATTTATGATTTAGAAAAATAAATAAAATTCCTATAGGAATTTCTATAACAGGATTTCTTTTATCTATATTTTTCTCAAATAAGTCTTTCCATATAAATTCAAGAATATTTGAAAACAAAAAATCACAGTAAAAAATTTATACAAACAAATATAGGAAGTGATAATTAGGAACGTTAACGTTATAGAATATTAAATGGTTCATTAACAATTAAAATAGCATGTGTCAATCAATTTTTAATATTTTATTTATACGTATAGCATTAATCTTCGAAAAAAAAAACTTTTGTTAAAATAAACTTAAATTGAATAAATAATTAAATGATTTGAATATATTTTTTAATAGCTTATAAACATATATTTAAATCGATAAATCATTACATCGATCAAATTTATAATCAATCGTGATTCTTCTGACATAATTTATAACTATTAACGATCATAACTATCACCTAATCACTCTTAATCTAAAGCAACACTTTTGTAATTATATATTATATTTAATGACTTCTCTAACTTTATTTCATAACCTTAATTAACATTCAATTTTAAATTTTAATCATTATTTGTCCATAAATGATAGACACACAAAGATATCCCAGTAAACATAAATTAGTTTTTTTTTTTTAAATAATTATGTATTCCTTATATTTTTAATTTCTTATAACTTTATCTTTTTGTAACTATTTTAATTTATTTTGATTTAAAAATATTAAAAATGAAAAAAAAAGTAAAATGCATGAGAGAATAAAAAATTCATAATGTTTTTAAAATAAAATAACATTAAATTAAACGAGATAAATACTGATTAAAGAATTAAATTTTAAAACAAAGAGACTAATAAATATTTTTTAAAAAGATATAAGGACTAATTTATAATTTAAGCAAGATATTCGGGGGATAAAGGAGAGGGTGGAGAGTAGAGGAGGGCTGTGCTCTCTCTCTCTCTCATTTAAAGCGTGTGAAAGTCAGTAGAGAGAGAAATTAATAGATACTGCATACAGAAACAAAAACATACGCCGGGAAAAGGCAGTAAGCATTTCTTTGTGACTTGTGAGGGAGCCCTTCTTCTCTTCTTTTATCTTCTCAGACAAACTTCATCATAGAATTACCTAGAACAGGAAATTCAAAATAAATAAATAATGAAACAGAGCACTCTCTTTCTCCCTGTCAATTTTTTGGTCCTCTGTTTCGCCACTCACGGCAACATATCACTCTAGATAAGCTGAGAAGCAATTCGGTCACATCAATCAACGGCCCTCATTTGATTTTCTCCGTTCCATGGCCAAACCCGGCGTCTTTGATTCCGATCCGACGGTGATGGCGAAGGCGATTGAATTAAAGAAGGAACTGCAGAAGCTAGTTAGGACCATTGTGGACGATGAGGAGGATTACCGTACGGAAACAATCGATCAAGCAAGAGAGACGCTTTGTGCCTTGAAGGAACTCAAGGTGAAGAGGAGATCATTGTCCTTGAGGCTGCGTGAAACTTTGTCGTGTCCCGAAGAGTTTAAGTGTCCTTTATCCAAGGAATTGATGAGAGATCCTGTGATTTTGGCTACGGGCCAGGTTAGTTTTTCTTTTGACGGAATTTTGAGTGTTACTCTGTTTGGTTGCTAAGAAAATGCAAGAGAAAGAAATTAGATAATGTTTGTTTTTTTTTGTTTCCTTTTTCAATTATGGTTTAAGGACGATGAAGATGATTACTTTTCTGGATTCCCATTGTAAATTTTGGTAAAATATTTATTACCTTAGTTTGAAATCTGTTGTGGGGTTGGTGGAATTAAACTACTGTGGATGTTTGTATTTCTAAAGACTCTTCAGTAGCAATTCTGTGACTGAAATCTGGATTATTTTAAGCCTTGCTTAGACATTCATGTTTTTACCATTAGCTTCTTTGTTTTAACTACTACCTACTGTTATTTTGTTAATTCAGAATTGATTAATCAGAGTTCACACACACATATATACGTATGTAAAACGAGTTCATTTTCTGCTAGTCCTTCATAGCAGCTTCTTATTGGATGTTAATTTGTGTTACTCTCTTTGCTTGCAATGTCCAGACTTATGATAGACCCTTCATCCAGAAATGGCTGAAAGGAGGCAATCGGACATGTCCACTAACACAACAAGTACTGTCACATACGATCCTCACTCCAAATCTCTTGATAAGGGAAATGATATCACAATGGTACAAGAGTCAGGGGTTAGAATTGCCAGACCCCATTCAATATGTTAATGAAGAAGGAATAACAGAAGCAGATCGTGACCATTTTCTGTCTTTGCTTCAAAAGATGTCTTTTGCACTTCCTCAACAAAAGAAGCTGCAAGGGAGCTGAGGTTGTTGACAAAGAAGATGCCCTCATTCCGGGCCTTGTTTAGCGAGTCAGTTGAGGCCATTCCTCAATTGCTCAGCCCACTCTCTGAGATTAAGTCGGGAAGTTCGATTCACCCTGATCTTCAAGAAGATGTCATCACCACCCTGTTGAACCTTTCGATCCATGACAATAACAAGAAGCTTGTTGCTGAAACCCCTATGGTAATTCCTCTTCTTATGGAAGCATTAAGGTCTGGAACCATTGAAACAAGGACTAATGCAGCTGCTGCCCTTTTCACACTATCTGCTCTTGATTCCAACAAGGCACTCATTGGGAGATCAGGTGCCCTAAAACCACTCATTGACCTTTTAGAGGAGGGACATCCTTTAGCTATGAAAGATGTTGCTTCCGCAATTTTTAATCTGTGTATTATCCATGAAAACAAGGCGAGAGCTGTGAAGGATGGTGCAGTAAACGTGATTCTGACGAAGATTAAAAATGGCATACATGTTGATGAGTTATTGGCTATCCTTGCTATACTTGCTAGTCATCAAAAGGTGGTTGAGGAACTGGGAGACTTTGGAGCTGTTCCTTGCTTGCTTCGCATTATCAGGGAGAGCACTTGTGAACGCAACAAGGAAAACTGCATTGCCATTCTCCATACCATCTGTTTGAACGACCGAACCAAGTGGAAAGCAATAAGGGATGAGGAAAGAACCTATGGAACAGTTTCTAAGCTGGCTCGAGATGGCACTTCAAGGGCCAAGAGGAAAGCTAATGGCATCCTTGAGAGACTGAACAGGGCTGTCAATCTGACTCATACAGCATAATGAAATCAGTCATGAACCGGTCTCAAGTTCAAACATATGTAAATTCTACATCTGTTTCCAGCCTTTGGTTGTCGATGCAACCCCTGCATGTGCCATTCTCAGTCATCTCTCTGTAAATTCTATCCATCGGAGTTTCTATTTCAGGTTTATGGGTTAGTCATTGTGAATAAATACTAAGCTTAGCGTAAAATTTTCAATTTTGTTGGGTGCAATAATTTCATTTCTTCATATACGCCTTGTTCTCTAATTATTCTGGATATTATTAGTGGCAGTTTTGGCTTTTGCATTCTTGTTTGCTAGCATGTTATTCCGGGGCCCGGTGGAAAAAGTTTTTCGCTGTCATTCCATTTCCCTTTGAATCTTTACCCATTTTTGCTTGCGTTAGTGAGAATATATAGCGAAGGTGGGTCTCTCACTCTCTATTGTCTTGACCTAGGAAAGGTTTCAAATTCCAAACCTTTGTAGATCTACGGATGATTCATGCATGAATGAATGGTCCACAGAAAGGGGTTGAAATGCAACGGGAATTCTGTGTGACTTCTGGTATTGTCGTCCATCAAAGGTGGTTCCTGGCCCTTTATGAAAGTATTCAGTGGAACCAAACCCTATCCTTTCTGCTATATATAGCTTGCCATGCCCATTAAAGACGGCGACAACTTGTGATTAATTACCTTCCCAACTCCTAAGGTGGCATACATCAACTCCATGAGCCATAATTGTGTAATTCACACAAGCTAGAGAAAGATTCTGTATTTAAATTCAAAAGGATATCACAATAATGTTTTTGAAGTCAAATTCAAAAGGAGATCGCAATAATTCACACAAGCTGGAGAATGACTCTGTACTTAAATTCTCGTCCATTCATTGTTTTCTCTGGCTAAAGTGTTATTGGAACATGAGAAATTTTATAATACTCAAGGAGAAACTATTTTATATATACAAGTATTACCCTATGAGTGAAAAAATAAATAAATAAATAAACAAACGTGAAATTTTTTTTATCATTACGATTATTAATGGATATTAGTTAATGTTTTCCGGGGACTCCTCAATCAAAGGAATTCAGTTATCAACAAAAATTACTGGCTAATGCTTCATAGTTAGAGACACAATTTGTAATTGTTATCTGATAAATCAAATAATTAATTATTTATTTTGACAATTCGAAAATTTTGGATAATCCTTTTCTTGTCTACGGGCTATTTGGTTAAAGGGCAGTTTGTTAATGGAAGACGCAAAAGGCATTTATGACGACACCCTAATAAACCGATCACATGAAACTCGTATATATCCCGAACAAATTTAGAGACTTAAATCATAACATTATCTCTTTGTTCTATGATGAATTTTGTAAAAAATAATTTTCTCACACCTATTTTTGTATCTAGTATTTATAGTTACTCTTTCAATACCATAAGTTTCTCCATTCATAATACTGAAAGCTCAAACTCCGTAGGTTTAAATACTATCAATATACATAGGTAGATAGACTGATTAAGATTTCATTTGATATGATTTTTGTAAATATATTTAAGTTAATTTTTAACATTCGATTCGAATAAAAACCATGATTATAAATGGTTAAGAATAACTTTTGACTTAAAAATCAAAATTCAATTACAAAATAAAGTAATTTTTTTTACTTTAATTAAAAGTTAACAATTTTAACTTTAACTTCGTTCAAAAAAAAAAATAAATAAATTAAATCACTTTTTGTCAAACAAATTTCCAACTTAACTTAATTATTTTTAAGTTATTTATCTATATAAAAATGTATTTTGAATTATAATTTAAATTTAAAAATTATTTTTTTTATAGGTCATACCACACAAATTATAAATTACCGAAATAAATTGACTCATTTTTGAAACGTACTCATGAAAACAAAGGAAGTAATTATATTATAAGTTTTGACCTTCTACATAGATAAGGTTTGTTTGTTTTTTTTTTGTTTTTTTTTTGACCTTTAGATAGGACTATGCAATTTACATTTACATTTAGTGGCTAAACAAACGATTAGAGAGTTAATATTAAAGTGTCGCATGGTTACAAGAATAAAAAATCGGGAATGAGAATGTAAAAATTAAAATAACATTTATCTTTTCATACTCTGTTTAAACTAGTAATAAGAAATCGAAATAAAATTTAAATTTTTTTAATATCTATTTTTTAATATAAATAAAATAATAATTAAAAAATAATTTTCTCAATTATGATGATAGTAAAAATAATAGAGATGATTGTAATAGTAGTGGACTAGAAAGAGAATGAAGAGAAGGATATAGTAATAACAATATATTAATAGCAATAATATGTTTTTAAAAAATTGATACTATCATTGGAAGTGGCAATGGAAGAAGAATAGTGATGGTAGTATAATAAAAGTAATAGTAGTGGTCGAGAAGATGTGGTGGTAAATTACAATAATAATATTGGTTTTTTATTTCAAAAAATTTATCACTACCACCAATAATGGTGGTAGTGGTGGTGATGATGATGGTTGTGTTGGCCGTACAAGTAGTTGATATGCAATAAATAAAAATAATATATCATTATTTTGAAAAAAAAATATTATTCTTATTTTTATTCTAAACTCCCATATGTAAATGAAACTATATTTAATTTTTATTGTCATTTTCATTATTTATTTTAATTATTTATTTATTTTTTTAATCAAACATCTATAAGTGAGAATAAAATTCTAATTCTTATCCTTTTAACTCAATTTTTGATAATCAAACAGCATCTACTAGTCAATAAAATAAGAAAAAAGAGTCATATAATTAATACTGTAACAAATTGAATTGACTACTATTATAAAGATGAAAAGTTATTCTAACTTTTTTTTAGAATGAAAATTTTTTTATACTCTAAAATTCATATTTTCTTGCAAATATAAAAAACTCACAGCCAATGAAATCGTTACCAGTGGCCCATTGATTAGCAGACATGATTTTGGATGCCACTTTAGACCAATAAACATCTCTAAAGACAAGTCGTACCACGAATAGCCCAAACGACATCGAACAATTGGAGAATAATGGGACTTTAACTTACAAAAAGCACAATTGTACTACGGTTGCAAATTTATGGCTGAAGATATTTATACACATAATTTTGCCATTTTTGACGTGGAGGAACGAAAAAGTTGATGGTTCAAGGCAGCAGCAGTCGGCAGAGAGAAGTCGGGAGTAATTTTCGACACGAAACAAGTTCAATCATGCTATTGGGTCTACCATGTGGCTCTGAAACTGGACTGTTTAACAAACCCACAAACATCCAAGGTTGGTATGCCAAGCATTTGTTTCCACTAATTGCTCCCTTCTTTCATCCAAGGATTATGTGTCTAATTCTGAAGATGCCAAAGGGAAGTGAGGAGATATTGTTTGAGTGTGTGAATTATTTGCTCGATGTGATGAGTTATAACTGAATAATTGGTCTATGTGCTGGCCATTTTGGAAGCTGGTCTATTCAATTCATCAATACATAAAAAAATTAATGCTAGTTTGGACTGGATGACTAATGAGTGGTGGAAACTCAGAATCTCTTATCTGCTGGGATTTCAAAAAGGGCAAATTCTCTGAAAGAAAAAACAATGCCATTGTTCAATCGGATTGTACCTGGTGGGACTGGGAGGAGGGATAAATAAATAATGGAAGAAAAAACCATAAACCATCCAAGTTGTTCGGTTGGAAAAAGAAGAAAAAAAACATTAAATTAACTTAAACCATAACTAGCAATAAATGGAGTGAGCAAATTATCAATTAGTGCATTTATTTTTCAGAAACAAATTAATTATTTAGTCTCTTGATTAATGTTGACCAGACTTAGTTTAATATTACTTAATTTTATAAAATTTATTTTTTTCATCAATTCTTTCATTTTTTTAAACTTATTTTTTGTATTTATTAAATAAAAAATCAAAATACATTGAAAAAGAAAAAATGATTCAGTTATAAGAAGATTTAAAAATATGAGGACCAAATAATAACGTTTTGAAACAAAGGGACTAATTGATTCATTTCTAAGATCTAAAGGAACTAGTTTATAACTCAGTCTAAATGGGGTATATTGTCCTCTTTGGAGGGAAACTGGCAAATATAGTAACAAAATTCAAGTAATAACACCGTGTTTTCCTTCATTCATAATAACTTGGAACTTGTAAGAACTGGATACAGTAGTTGCAAAGTTGGTGATGCTGAATCTAAGATACCACCAGCAGAAGAAAAATTGATAAAGCATTGAATTTGGTTAGACAAGGAGATACTTCAATTCTGTATTATTTTTCGTACCTAAAATACTACTGGCTGCATGGATGCGTTTATTAATCAAAGACCTGTCCTCTTAGTTTGTTGTAATGGCTGAATTACAAGGATTAAACCGATCGCCATCATTAATTTATTGTAACTTTGGACACACTGATTTTAACCAACCTAGTGGAATGGTCAAAAAAATGAAGCAGGAAGCAATTTAATTTCTTTGAAATGGTGATTACAATTGGTTCAAACATGAATTAGTCAAACCAGATTAGTCCAAAAGCAGCTTAGAGATAATGACATACTGTTCTATTGTTAAATTTAAACATTTAACTATTATTATTATTATGGTAATATCATTTGCTTTCCAAAAAAGGAGCTTTCCATCGATGGCATTACCGGCACGCTGAAATTATGGCTTTGGGTAGCTCATGGGTTATTTTCATGCCAACAAAGGAATGGTATAAAGGAAATAATCAAATGGGTCTACCATTCTTGACGTGTTCTTTGTTTTCGATCAGCTCTTATATGCATGAGTGAAGCACTCAATGGAGTATCTTTTGAAGCAAAGGTTATTAGGGTAGATGGGATGGATCAGATCAACTATCATTTTAGATTCAATTCCTTCCTATTACATGATCGCAAGGCCAACATTTCTATCGTTTCCCATGCTACGTAGCAAATTTATTTAGCAAGCATGAGCCCATCACAAGAATCCAAACCCATGGATCCATTCATTGTTTCTTAATTTTGAGATACCTAACAGACTTAAGGGAGGAGAATAATTTGGTGCATTAGACCCTCCGTTTCTGGATCAAGAAGACTTCAACAAGAGGACACTAATGGACCAACCGGGAAAGTGGAGTTTGTTCGTAATGCCACTGTAGCTCCATTCGATCCAAAACATAAAAGTCCTTGCAGTTGTTTTCTATTTCAGACAGGTCCATAACTCTTTGCCTGATTAAAATGAATATTATCTCCTAACATCACCGGAAATTTAGTCCATTAATTACATAATGTGAACAAAAAAAAAACTACTTTTGTATCACTGCAGACCACAAGTATAACAAAATGTAACCATCTAATTGCACAGAATTATATAAGAATATGTAGTTAAAAAGAATAACAGTTACCAAACTAGGCACGAACTCAAGTGTATAATTCAATAATAAGTGATAAAACCATGACAATCCACGGGGAAAGAGTCAAATGATCAAATGATCGCTGACGTTGTGCCAAACAAGAATAGAAATGAGAGAGACAGTACGATTAAAAAGCAGTTCTCCATTTCGATTGGGAAGAAAGATACCCAGTAATGATTGATTTTGTACAAGCAGTCACCATGGCAAAAAGAACTGTACAATTAAAAAGTTCACATGGAGCTCATACAGTTTAAGACATGGCACATGATATATGATGCACACGAGATATATTACCTATAGTTTAAGATAGTAAACCCTACCCTATTAATCCACCAGACAGTCCCCAATTTCCTCGAACAATCAATCTGATTCAATCTTATAAGCCCAACCATGTTTGTCCAGGTATGCGTGAACTGCTTCCTTTATAGCTAAGTTTGCAACGAGCTGTGATGGATCAAGAGGTTCTCGTGTGATTGGATCAAATCTACCCACCTATGTATAATTGAGTCAGCAATCAATGCAAATCAAAAGCATCTCAATTTGAACAAGCAATATCAAAACCACAAATCACCTTCTCAAGATGGTCAAGGAGAACTTGTCTTTCATATGAAAGCCCACTCGGAGTAATGACCGGATCACGAAAAATATCAAGGGTGATTTTACAACATAAGTGATCTGGCACCTGAAATTCAAATTAATCCCACAACATTATAAAACAGCAGTGGATAATTTTAAGAGGGAAGAAAAGAAAAAGACATAAATTAAACAAATCCAAAGACACCTCAGATGGTAAGTCATCTTCTGCAGCTTTCCTAAATACTTGTCCTAGAAGCTCCAATTGGTTCAAATGGGATCCTTCTGTTTCAGAATCATCAAGAAAATGTTTTTCTTCAAGTGCACTCTCACAAGCTTCTCTGAGGCAAACCAAGGAAATTAGCATGAGCAGGTATGACATAGGACAATTTACGGTTCTCTTAGCATCTAAATGCAAAGATCTGTGCCAATGATAGAGCCTAAACTCACAGGAATTACATACTTCAAGCTTTGTAGTTCCCATGAACGCTTCGTAGACGCATGTTCCCACTCCAAGTACTTCGCCTTTGCTAGCTCCTCCCAGATCTCCTCTACCATATAACCCATTGGGTTGGCACCCCTTCCAAGATCCAAAGCCTGATAAAAAGACCACTAAATTAAGATCTGGTGCTACGATTAATAGCATGCACATTTTCTTTGTACACAACAGCAACTAACATTCGACATCCATTAGGATCCTATTTGCAACAGAGGCTATAACAACAAATATGCTCGAAATAACCTACATTCAGTTCTATAATCTATTGACATTGCTTATAAAATTAATAACATGTTTGATTCATCTAATTCATACTAAGGATAGCAGTGACTGCCAATCGTGTTTCTTTGACATGCTGCAAAAATCATATTGTCCATTGCCAGGGTATGTTGCACTATTTTGAACATTTTTGTTAACTTACTAAGAGTGAAAGTTACTACTACTGCACTGCTCACCAGATACCCAAAGACAATATGTGACAAGTACATATCACTAAATGCCAGGATTTATCTAACAAGTCTCCAATTGACTGCGTTTTGCCCACTATAACCATGATTTTGACGCCCTTCACATCAACTGAAAAGACCACAAACCACACATACACAAATTTGGCTCCAGCTGCTCAAATGTCTAGACAAGAGTAAACCTCCAGCTGATCACAACATGACACCACCAGATAGGCCAAATCAGAACACTAATTTTCCTGCTACTAGAGTTATTATAGCAAAGCAATGTTCGACTGCAGCTTCACACATTTCTAACCATGCAAAAGGCAGATGGCTTTTCCTGTGTAACAAAGAAATGCAATCCAGTTGACCTACACGTAATAATCTTGGCTACGATGTTAGATATATACATGCAAACCACCTTGATACACAGACAAGCATTGTAATATAAGAGTATCCCTGTTGTAATCCTGATCTCGAATACATGATAAACTAACATATACAGATGATATGTAAAGTTAGAAGACCACGCACTTCATAGTTTACCAACCTCTACCTTCCTATTCTCTTTATTAGTTTTAAATGATCTCACTTCATCTGGTTGGACATAGTCATATTCAGTTGATGTTGTTATGACCAGATCATTATGTGAAATCAATAAGTTGAAGCTAGAACAAATAAAAATGGCAGGTAAAAAATATCTAAAGAGCAATAGCAAGAGGCTCAAAGCTAAAAAAATCTATGAAGAGGTATAGCATGTTCATTTGTCAGCCTTGTGCTAACAAGTAAACCAAATGGCCCAATGCAATCATGCAAATGCAGATAAAATGACAATTTTACCTGGAGAAGTAACATGCAAAGCTATGACTCCAGCACATTTCTCCCCATGGCTTATTTAGTGTTTTTATTTTTCACTTGATGCTCCTCAAAGAAACAGACTAGTAACAAGATTACTACACTAGCTATTGTGAGACTGAAATAATTTATAGATAGTAGGCCATCATCTTATAGTCCCATCATCTGATGCTCGAGGGGGAAAAATTTGGAGATATCTACATCTTCAAGCTATTTTTATGCAAGTGGTTGCTCTCGGCACTTAAACCTCCAACTGTATGGTTGCAAGCCCGAGACTTTGAATGGCCCTTACCAAGACCAACACACGTACTTGATGAAAAATTTGAGACAGCTTTTGTTCAAATTTCCCTCTAGATAAATTTCACAGGAATAATAAGAAGAAATAGGCTATTATGATCGACTATTTATCATAGTAAACCACAAGAATTAAAACCAAGCAATTCTGTTAACACTGAAGTTTGACTTATGTAGAGTTGTTATAGTTATAACCTCAAATAATTAAGGTTAAGAACATTTTATCACAATATGTACACTGGATTCTACCAACGTGGAAGTTTTGATGGATTAAGAAGCCTAAATGGCAAGCACAAAGAACTATTAAGAAAAAGCAAAAACAGCTATGTCACTTGATATATTATTCAAGGAACAAAAGGCCATGCTGAAGATGAAATCAGATGTAGAAATACTCAGTATGTACTGAAGTTCAAAGGAAACAATTAAATAATGGATCTATATAAGAAACCTCGAGACCCATTCAACAAACTTAATTTCAAAAAACAGCCAATAGAGAAAATTAAACTAGCTTACAAGCAACTAATGCAGATTTTATTCAATGGATTTACAACAAAAGACATGAGCATGAAGGTGAAAAAGTAACTGATCTCATAACTCAAAAACTTCTTCCACGTATAAGTCCAAATGCTGAAAGCAGAACAAACATCAACCAGTAACTTGTGCTGATATGAAAATGAATTTTACAAACAACTCAAGATAAAAAGATCACTTCTTACCTTTTCCAACTCCTTAACTCCATCAGAGTACTCTTGCTTCTGAAGTAATGCAAGTCCCAACATATAGTGAGCCTGTCATGCAGCAAGCAGCGCAACCAACACATTAAATATAAGTAAAAATTCAACAGCTTTCTTATGAAATAAAAAGACAACAAACCTTCACCCTATAGCATAATGGAGTTTTTGAAAATAAAAAACACATTCGAAGAAATATTCACAATCTACATTTTCTTTCAAGATTAAACACCATTCACAAATGACCTTGAAATTGAACACTATGGATCATGTTGAACATGAAAACTCCAGCTTTCCTTCGAGAAGACTGTAGTAGCAAAAGCATCAATTAAGACAAAGTTGTTTATGTGCGTTGACTAGATTGAATCATCTCCTTCCACATGGCTACACAATCATCATGTTTTTTATTATTTTCTCATTTAGTGACTCGTCGGAAACTTTTCTATAAGTATCCACAAAACAAGCACATTATTCACATACTCAAAGCAGCAAACTTTAAATCATTCTTCTTATATCCTTTTCTACAAAAGACACAATAATGGGCACATACACGGCACGGCATGGCAGCTCCAAAGTACTATAACACGAGAACATGCTAGTTCGAGTACCCAAAATTATTATGATCAAAGAAAATGGCGGGCATGAGTACCCAAAATTAATGTGATCAAAGAAATGGTATCCATGAGTACCCAAAATGAAATGAAACAGCATTACCTTGACAGAGGTGTGGTCGAGTTGAATAGCTTTGCGACAATCCTCTTCGACTTTTGTCCAATTACTGAACCACAAAATGTCCCAATTAATAACAAAAATTTGACATAAAAAAAGAAGAAAAGAAATGAAAAAGTGGTTTTACATACTTGCGTTTTCGATGGCATAAAGCACGATTCGTCCAATAAACAGGAACATTAGGGCACAGTGTAATCGCCTTCAAAGAAAATTTTAACAAAACAAACATTAAAATCAAGATACAAAGGAAATCTTTTTCATCATATATTTAATTTTAAAGAACCAATAAATATATATGTGATAAAATACCTCAGTGTAAGCGTCGATGGCGGCTTGAAATCGGTCTTTATTAAAGCATTTATTCCCTTCTTGCTTCAATTTCTCTGCTTGTTTCGCTGTGGCGCTCAATGCCGCTACTTCTGGTCCCATTCTCTCTCTATTTCTTGATTCTCCTCTAATTTTTCTCTTTATATTATTAATTATGATTATCGTCTAGCTCTCTAGAGTTCCTATTCTTGTATGAATAATGGAGTATGGAGGCGACGAGGGCGCGAGATATGCACGGGCCGTGTAGGCTGGAGAAAGTGATAATCAAAATCAAAATCAAGACGAACGGAAGGGAAAGGAAGGAAAATAGGAAACAATCGTTGAGCAAACACTCGTGTGTGGGGGTTTTAGTTTCGGAGAAGAAGGGTTACGTGTCGAGGATTTTATTACGTGACAGACGTGTTTTATTGGATGGGTTTCGGTTGTTGGGCGTCTTTCATTGGTGGACTTTTTTTTTAAGGGTAAACCTCGATTTAGTCTCTAATCTGTATTATCTTGTTATTAATGGGCTCCTAAATATTTTTACCTATCAATTTTACTTGAGATTATATTGTTTTCAAGGCATTAAAATAAACCCTAATATGTGTTGAATTACCATTTTTTTATTGTCAGTAAAAATGGATGGATGAAAAAGTAATATCATTTTATAGTTTTGAGGTAAAATTTATAAAATCAAAATATCTTAAACTCATAATTTGAAATTAAATTGAGGCTTCTCTTTTTAAAACTAACGCGGATTGACTGTGATCTTATCCAGTCCACCCTGAACGTAGACAAAACTATCCGTATAGTTGTGGGGGCACAAGATGTCGATAATCGTGGCTTTTTCTTTAAAAAAGAAAACCCAAATTAACAACTTCCAGCATAAGTTGTTGTTAAAAAAATAAAACCCAAATAAACAACTTCCAGCATAAGTTGTTGTTAAAAAATAAAACCCAAGTGAAAGACTTCCAGCACGAGTTGTTTGTAAACCGCCACTCCAAAAAAATCCAAAGTTGTAAAAACTATGGTTTCTCGTTGGAAAAAAAAAAAAAAGCCCCAAAAATAACAACTTTCAAAACAGTATTTGTAAAAAAATGCCGAGGAAATTATAAATTAGTCTATTTAGTTTTGAAAAACGGACCAATTAGTTATTTTAATTTTTCAATAACTTAACTCTTTTGATTCCTTTTTAATTTTTTATGTGAAAAACAAAAGTAAATAAAAAATATAGAATAATCGGTGAAATGAGATGATATATTTTTAATAAAATAATATTAAATTAAATATAATTAATATCGATTAAATGACTAAATAATTAATTTTTAAAACAACTAATTAATTCATCGTTTGAAAATAAAAAAGACTGTTTTATAATTTACTGTAAAACAATGCCAATCATCATTGAAAAAAAAAAAAACAAAGAAACAATTAATCATAACATAGGTTCTTTCATTAAAATAAATTTAAATCTCCATGACTACGCTATATTCTATTATTATATAATGAAAGAAAAATAATGCTTGTGCACGCTCTTACTTATTTTCACATCGATCAAAATTAAATTTATTATTTTATAAACTAAATCAATGTCAAAATTAATTTATTCTTTATTTAACTACTAAATTGCATTGCTTTTAACTACTAAATTGCCATGCGATGAATTTCTAAGACAGGAAGTGACGTCAGCATATCTGTCAAGCCAAGAAGAGAAACATTAGCAGCTCAAAACACAAAAAACAGTATGGCTTTCCCAGGCATTATAGTAAGTGACAAAATAATTGCTGAGATCCAGTAATCTGTATTGAGAAATGACATTACAACAGCCACTAGTTTTTGCAACCTATACTGTACCTATACTTTAGAAACTGTAACCTGGATGGGGTTTTCCAACTGGAAACATGAAAATAACCTAACTGTTTTTAGGTATGGAATCAAATTATTCCCATGGTGAATAAAGCAACCCATTGCATTTCACTCAAGGTACCTCCTACCCAAATGAACGGATTAGGACTACATACTCTTATGTTACAGGCTCATGACGTATGCACACAATACATCAGAGAATCTCTAATCGTTGCTATTCAGGAGAGACTAGGTTCTTGACCTTTGCTGTCCTCAGAGATATTTGATAACTGCTCTCGAACACAATTGACAAGTCGAGAAGCTTCCTGGTCAAAGTTCAGGGGATTCCTTTGCAAACTCTGCAAAAAGTCAACGATCATATATATATATATATATATATATATATCTCAGGATGCTACTAAGTTATGCCACAATACAATCAAACCAAAAGCAAACAATGCATACCTCAGTGGTCCATAAGCAGTCACATGCCTTACGCGGGATAATGTGGATGTGCGTCTGAAAATTCAATGTTGATATAAAGAAATCAGAAAAAATCAACAACTTCAGTTGCTGTAAGTACGTATGGCTTAAAAGATGTGAGCATCTATCACCCGGACAAATAAATAGCGAAGAAAGTGTTTATTTTGATTCAGTAAAAAACACAGCACAATTTGGTCAACAATCTGTGCACCCATTATTACATCAAGCCTTTTCTACCATAGAAACAGAATTTCAGAATTACTTACATGAAAAATGACTTGGCCTGCAGCTGCACCGTTATTTACCAACAAGTTGAATGAATCTGTATAATACCAACATCCAAAAACAGAAGTTTAGATGGGGCTGGAGTTCAAGAAAAAACTTAGCTGAAAACTGATCCAAAAAGCTCATAAATGCAGATGAATCCATGCTTCCCTGTCCCAGCGCTGCCCACGCCCCCCCCTCCTCCCAACAACAACACACACACACACACACAACAACAACAACAACAATAATAACTTTATTCAATTTGAAATTCATCATAGTAGTTTTTTGGCATCCCTTTGAATTCCTAGTTCCAGCCCAGCCACTTCTCAGGCCACTCAGATAACAGTCATTCTTACACCACAGTAATTTCATACATTCTCCACAACATTCTTGACAATTGAAGCATGTAATGTAGGAAGGAAAGGACATGGATAAGCAGAAAGACTGAGGGCAGAAGGAGTTAAAATAGCAGTAAAGAATGTTGGATACATACCAGAACTAGTGGCTTTCATGATTGCATTACCAATTAAAGGCACCTTTGAACACATTGCTGCTACCACCTGCAGACCCAATTTATTAGAAAATACATCCAAAGAGAAAAAAAGATCCGATGTTACATGACTAACTTTAACATTTCAGGAAAACGTGACGTATATCCCAGGTCAGGATGATGAAAAAATCAAATTTTGATAAGGGGTCAGATGGACCAAAATTGAACATTGGTACACAGCTTCCTTCATCCTTGAAATGAAATCATATTACTTCTAGATATACCAGGGAGATAAAAAAAGGCAAGCAGCATCAGTTGGGTGCAAGAAAATTGAGTGATTGGGATTCAAAACCAGGCTTGCTTGCTAACTTACATTGCAAAACCCAGCAATCCTCACTTCTTAATTCATAGAAGACAGCTGTATATCTTTTCAGAAACACAGTTGATTAAAAAGTAAAACTCAAGCAGTGCCAGCATGACACTACTCTCTGTTCCTCTCTTTTTCTATAATCAAACTTTCAGTCAGCCTTCTAAGACCAGGTAACCAGCCCTCCCTGGCTACCTCCATCATTCACTATCTCAAACAAGAAAATTTCAGAGCAGTCCTTAACCTTCTCATCTTCTGCACATCAGCCATGTCTGTACCTTTGGTGTAAAGTCCAACAAGGTTTCAGACCAGTATGAATTTCATGCCAATATGGGAACTATGGAAAAAACGGCAAGACCGTGTAATATAGCTGTAATCTCAACAAAAATAAAGAAAGAGTTCGCTCATATGACTCAGGTGGACTCATGTAGGTTCAGAAATAACACAAGGAACTGAAAAAGGTTTAGGCCCTCACAGATCAAACTCCACGCACCTACAAATGCTAGGCCTCCTTGGCTGAGCTTTGTATTGACAACTAAAGGTAGTGAAAGCACAAGAACTGTTGAAGGACTCAGGCAGTCAGCCCTAGTATGGTTCAAGTTGCATACAAGCCAAATCAAGCAAACACCATCTTCCTAACACCTCAACAATCACCTTGTAGACCAATAAGAAATCTCAATTACACCTCGATTAACAGCTGATAAGCATAAGTTCAGATATGTTGAGATTTCTTCTCACGTTTAATCCAGTAATAGCATCCGTTAAATGTACTATGCATAGTTAGTTGGCTAATAATTGTGAATAGCTCAGTTGACTGATAATTGTGAATAGCTCAGGAGAAATTAGCATCAAGTGAAATTACTTACAGATGGAGGAGTGGCTTCCAAGGAAGAAAAGTGAGACTTTGGGATAATAAGAGAGTGCCTGGAAAAGAAAAGAAAAGAAAAGAGCAGCTTCACATCATTTTATCAATCAAATTGCATAGAAAAGGAACTACGGATACAGTCATGCGAAGAAAATTCAAATTTTTGGATTACTAGTAGTATTTGGAGGCCATGGTTTTATTACAATGTTAATTAATCTTGTAAAGGAACAACTTTGGTGCCTGCTTTATGCAATTCTCTCAATTCAGGCTACATGAAAATTACTCCTGACAAATCACAGTAATTTTTTAACTTCATTCAATTCATCCCTAGAGTGCAAGGAGGAATTCGACCACTTGAAAAGTTAAAAAAGGACATGACATTAGCGTAAATTATGGTTGTGCTTTAGGCAAACGATACCTTACCCAGGACTCACTGGACTAGTATCCAAAATACACAGGCACGTATCATCTTCGTAAAGCTGTAAGATTCAGATGCGCAAGAGAGAAGAAAAAAAACAAAACAAAAAACAAAATTTCAGAATCAAAATGATAAGAAAGAGTCATTAATTAACCACAGCTAAATAGCAAAGTTGGCAGCAAATAAACTTTGACAAAAACAAGGAAACATACAAAATTTAAGAACTTTCAAAATAAAATCTAAAAGGGTAAATTATGTGGTTTGCAATGTAATTAAAGACAGAAAATGCAATCACTGTGATTACAGCACATAATAGCAAAGGTAATTTTCAAAACTATTATTAATTTTTTTCAATTAAAATCACCTTTTAAATACCAAAAGATAGAGAATTATAATACACAGTCACCGTAGCAAGTTAAAAAGAAACCTATAAAAGTTACTTACTAGGAACAACAAAATTTTACCTTAAAAGCAGGGGATTCCCCACGACTAATCCTGCAGAAAACGCAGTCGTGTTGGCGATTCCTGGTCTCGCTAGGAGCATCATTTTTTGAGGCAGAAGCAGTAATGGAAGAAGATAAAGGTGAAATCGGAGAGGGAGAGACAGGGAGGAGATGTGAGCAGAGAATGGAGAGCCTCCTTCGTGACTCCATTCACGCGAGATAAATTGGCTGGAGGAGAAACGCCATGAGTATTTGTATTAAGAAAACAGGAGTGTTAGGATTTGTAGAGGTCTGAAAGGATTGCAAGTGTAAAGACAAAAGGTGTAACATGTGGGGCGTTTTGATCGACTGAGGTTACTGAATCGTCGATGCCTTTGCTTCACTTTGCTTATCTACCTGTTTGATTTTGCACGGCCCGTGTCGGCTGTCTCGGGCTATTATTTTGTTCCCTCCCTTATCTCTTTGTTTGTTTGTTTTTTTTTTCCTTAATTCTTGAATTTTGGAGTAAATTATAAATTAATTTTTTATTTTAAAAATTAATTATTTAATTCGTTATTAATCATACTTAATTTAATATTATTTTATTTCATAAAATGTCATTTTTCTAATCAATCCATACACATTTTTTAACTTTTTTTTTATTCTTTAAAATCAAAAATCAAAATAAATTAAAAAACAAAACAGATTAAATTACATGAAAATTTAAAAATATATGAAATAATTAATTAATTTTTGAAATAAAAGATACTAATTAATTCATTTTTTTCAAAACTAGAATAACTAACTTATAGTTTCCTTCGAATTTTGTTAGCTGAGAGTTATTCTTAGTGTTACGCTTTGCTTCTTGGTGCGTGCTGCCATATGCCCATTATTGGATTTGGGAAATGGAAATCACGTTCCCTTTTTTCCCTTTCATTTCAAATCAATTTGGGCAATCCATTCGATTTTCTTACCGTATTTTCGTTGGGAATTTATACCACTCGTGCAAATTAGATTTTTAAGAAAATAAGTATTAAATTCAATAAATTAAGTAATAATTAAGATGACAAAATCAATCAATTATAAAAACATCAAATTTAAGTGAAAGATCTTCTTTATCATAGAAGGAAAAAAAAAAAAACAAAGGATGAACCTCGAAATAATCTATTATAATTAAGAAAATAATATGATCACTTAAGTTTATTGTGAACTTAAAAATAAAAAATATTGATAGAAATACAAATTTTCTTTTGAAGCAAATTTGTCTCATTGTGAAAATTTGAAATTTAAAAAACCTATGTATTTTTACAAAATTCAATACAATGTAAAGTCACCATTTTTAACACTATAATTCTTGTAATTGTAGTACCCAAAACTCAATTATAAAAAAAAAAAAAGAAAAACTCAATATTATATGCACAAAAAATCATTATTTTCTTATTGTACAAATCCAAGAAAAATCTTGTTTTCTCTCTACATTGCTCTCTTTATTTATCTTGGCAATACAGAACAACAAGAAAGCATAACTTTTTTTTTTTTTTTACATCGCTGTCATAGGAATTGTTATATTATGAATATATTAACTTTTAATATTTTCTTAATCGAATACATGACTTTTAATTTTTTTTCATTCAAATAAATCAATTTTTTCAAAAGTGTCAATCGAGTATTTTCGTCAATTATTTTGTTAATCGATAACGTGTCCATTATCTTTATAATACCAAATTATAATTTTATCTTTTATTCAATAATTTTGCTATTTAAAAAAAATCATTTGTGTTTTCCTTCAATTTGTGTTTTCCTTGATTGATACAAGTACTTCATTGACAATTAATTTTTAAAAAAATTAACGTACTCAAATAAAAAAAAATTAAAATTCACGTATTCGATTAAAAACAAATTGAAAGTTGATATACTTACAATGCAATTATCCTACTAGCATATGTCGGTTAGAAAAACAAAACAAAATAGGTTAAATACACTTTGTGTCTCTATACCATACAAAAAATATCGTTGCAATTTTTCTATCCATATATAGTTCACAACAAATCTTATATTATTGGACATTAGTGCAAAACAATCCTTTCGTTAACTTTTTTGTCAAAATAAGTAATTCTCGTTAGTTGACTAACTTTCGACCAATCAAGTAGCGATACATGTCAAGTTAAGAGTAAAAATGTAATTTTTTAAATCGAAATTGTAAGTTTTTTGAAATTTAAAATAATCAATAATTATTATAAAATCATTAAAAATTGAAAAGAAATTCCAAAGAATATTTTTTATTGTTACTGAATTTTTAATAATTATTATTAAAGAAATTTTAAAAAATCTAAAGAAATTATTTTTCAAATTCTAATTATTTTATAATAATTATTAATAAAGAAAATTTTAAAAAGTCTAATTTTTTTCAAAAAATAAAAAAAATTAATAATCTAATTTTTTTCAAAATTTTTATTAAAATAATTAATAATCATTAAAAATTCTTTATATTTTTTTTAAAATTTTATTTATTAGTAATTATTATAAAATAATTAAAATTTGAAAAAAAATTTATATATTTTTAATTTATTATTAATACTTATTATAAAATCATTAAAATTTGAAAAAGAATTCTAAACTTTCAACTTTTAATGATTTTATAATAATTATTTATTATTTTTAACTTTAAAAAATAAAAAAATAATTTTAAATGAAATTATATTTTTACTTTAAATTGACATATATCGCTGCTTGATTGATTAATCATTAATCAATAATATATAGTTTATTATAAACTATATCTGAGTATATCTGAGTAGAGGAGTGACAATCATAATTTTTAATATAATACAGGAGGAGGACGTGGTGTATTTAACCCAAAATAAAACACACTTTTCTTTCTTTTGTTTCACTACCATACATGCACACATTTCATGGTTTAGGCTATTGTCTCCCTACTCAGCTGCAGACTGCAAATTTTAGAGCTTTCGAGCACGCAGTTCTCTGGATACGTTTCTCTGACCTTCCAATCAATTGGTACCATCCAAAAATCCTGTGTACTATGAGGAATGTGATTGGTAATAGTAACAGAATTGATATGAACACCCAAATGTCGCAAAGAGGAAAGTTTGCACGGGTAGAGGTTGATATTAATTTGGATAATCACGTTTAGAGTTTCATTCAAATTGATAGTATTGAGCAACAAATAGTTTATGAAGGTCTTCCTCAAATTTGCTACTCTTCCAGAAGGGTAGGACATAATAACTTGTTATGTCCATCTAAACAAACTTCTACACAAGCTTCTCCTAACATTTCAACTGATGACAACAATACTGTGAAAAACCAGGAACAAGATGGTTCAAAATCCTAAAGCTAGAGAAGGAAATGGAGAATTTGGTCCCTCGATCCATACCAAACCAAATCCAAGCTGCAATCAGAGAAGAGATGTTAATACTACTGCTAAAAATCCGAGACAAAATTCTACCGAAAGAGAGGATGTTCGCTATCACAATAGAAAGCACATATATTTAATGAGGATATCCTTTCAAAATTATTCTTATTCAATCATACGAACCATAACAGTGCTGGCGCCAATATAAAAGACATCATCATAAAGAAGGATAAGGTCCTCCAATTTGCCATTATAAAAGAAACCATCATAAAGAAAGATACTGTCCTTCAATTTGGTTTCAGAGATTATCGATAATTAAGAAATAAACTATTTTATTTTTTACACCATTCAACTTGATGGAAGTCTCACTTAAATAAGAACCCTAAGTGCTAAGGATTCTACGTTCTAATCCTCCTCTTTCTACTTCGTATCATTATTTATCATTTTTCATCCACATATAAAGATATGTGCAAAGCCTATTCAGAGATCTCCTCATAGAAATAATATATGCAAAGACTATTCAGACATATCATTGACTTAGTCATAGAGTTTCTCCATTCACCAAAAGCACTTGTCTTGCAGGTAAATTGAGCAGCAAAAAAATCTCCATAAAATATCGATTTCCACTGCGAAGCTACGTAATTATTAATCACTATTTAACTTTCACGAACTCTCAAGCCCAAAACATTACCTAGGTCCAATCTTCACCTCTTCACAATCGAAATCCTAAAATCCATAAAGAGCAAGTCATGTCGATATAACTAGCAATCACACCTTTGTTATAATTTATGATGATGTCACTGAACAGCCTCTTGTAGCCCAAAAAGGATGTGAACATGGAGTTAAGCAATGACTTAGATGAGGAGGACGAGGAGATGCGTTTTTATAATACTCTTAATGAAACAAAATTGGCCGACATACCTCTGGAGATTTCTTAAGAGTAGTAATATAAGCAGCCAAAACATACCAATAAGACTAACATTCCAGTCAAAAAGGCTTCTGTGCAAGGTGCCAAGCAGTGTAAAGTCTAAAACATCTTTAATTAAACAATCTTTGATTGGGGAATTCAAGGCCTCATCAAAAGAGAAAGCGATATTTTATGACATAGTTAACTCTGAAGGGAAGGCATTGCCTGACCCGGTTAAGATAGATAACTAATGTTGTCCACCTTAACGTGAAAATATCACTATCAGAAATTTACTAAACAACGACAGACTTTAACGACGGAAAAATCCGTAGTTATTTAATGAAATCTTTGTAATGTATCAATCGGTTGATTTTAATAATATATATATATATATATTTTCATTTGGAATTGCCAAGGAGCAAATAACCCTAATTTTCGTGAACTATCCCATTTCAGTTGTCTTTTCTGTTATATATACATCTACTTATAGTGCATTTGATTTACTGATGACTGATATGGAAATAAAGGAAGCTCTATTTACTATGGATGCGTATAAAGCTACAAATGTTGATGGTCTTCATGCAATCTTCTATCAAAATCAGTGGAATATAGTTAGGCCTCTTTTATGCAACTTCATTAAACAAAATTTTTTATGAGGGCTCAAGGAGTACAACAATTAATCACACCTCTTTCTCTCTTATTTCGAAGACTAAAACGCCAGATAGCATGACCCAGTTCCATCCTATTTGGTTATGCAATGTCTCTTACAAGATTATCACTAAACTGATTGTTAATCGTCTAAAACCTCACCTGCCTACACTAATTGCTCCAACTCAGGGTAGTTT